CTGGCACTGAAGGAGTTCTCACCTGGGCCTCACAGGTGCAGGGGCCTGCACAGCTGTAGAGAAGGATGAATGTGCCCTGGGCATATCCTAAGGCTGAAAATGATGCAGTGAAAACTCAGGTCGACCCCAGGGCCTTCAGTTTCCACTGTATACTTGGTCTCAGTGCAACAAACCTGGCTCTGGGTGCCAAGACAAAGCCCTGTGCTGACTTTCTTGCTCTGCTCTCCAGCAGCAGTAGTCTTGCTTCTTGTTCTGCTGCCAGTGGGTGGAGGTACAGGCAATCCCTTTACCACCTGGCCTAATACAATTCCAGGAGCTTAGTCTGCAGCTATTGGCCTGGTGAAAGAGGTCAAGGAGCTTTGCCCAGCACTGAGTTTCACTGTGGTCAGGCCTAGTAAGGGGTTCCAGGCCTAAGGTCTGCAGTTATTTGCCTCTTCCTCCCCCAAAGAGAAGCATCTCTCTCCCTGCTGGCCGCTTGGAGTCTGGGAGTGGTGGTGATGGCTCTCTTTCCTTCCTGCCTTATTAAATGCAACTTTTTGCTTTGTAATACTAAAGGCAAGTACTACGGCCTCTTGTCTGACTCCCTTAGCTCTTATGAAGGGAGTTTGGTGCACAAATAGCTGTTCAACTTGGTGAGTCTGTGGGGAATTTTCCAGAGGATCTAAGTCACCATCTTGCTCTGTCTTCTGAATTACAGCTCTGTACGGTGAACAAATTACCCAAGGAAAATTATTCCAATGATGCCCTAAGCCACATATTGTTTCAGTATTGACACTACGTATTTCATAATACAATGCAGAATTTTTCCAATAAAAATAGTATTAATAAGAAAAGTGATCAAATAAATCCTTTTTTCTCTCCCCCTAAATTTTTCTATATGCTGTAGTTTTATTTAAAACACTAATTTCTGAATGTATGCAATATTCAAAATGATCAAGGTTAGGCAGAAAATATACAAGAGTAATATTATCAATCATTTTCAGGAAATTAATAATTGTTAAACTTTGGAAAATAAAAATCTAAGACATAGGTTTCATTACTTTTTGTTTTTCCTAACCTTAAGAATATAGAAACTTGAACTGGGGATTTAGCTCAGTGGTACCACGCCTGCCTCACAAGCACAAGTTTGACCCTGAGTTGGACCCTTGGTACCAAAAAAAATAATATAGAAACTTGCTGGGCATAGTGGCGTACACCTGTAATCCCTGCACTGGGGAAGCTGAAGCAAGAAGACCGCAGTGAATTTGTGGCCAGCCTGGGCTACATAGTAAGTTCAAGGTCAGCCTGAACTACATAGCAAGACCCTGTCTCAAAAAAAGAATATAGAAACTTGGCATTGTCATGTTTGAATCCACAGCAATTGAATATTTATATCCTTAGGATAACACCCAGAAAGAAGCTTCCCACACATCCACTGGGTACCATGATCATTCTGCTGAAAATTCTTGTTTTCTTTAATATTTATCAGTCACTGCTTTATTTTCTTGTTTCTTAGGCTTCCCCCCCACCGCTCCCACTGTGTTTATATTCTCTTCTGGTAAATGTGCATGGTAATATGTAAAGGTAAACCATCATCTTTCTCAGTTCCTATAGTTTTCCTCCTTTCTGGAAATATATCCTGTCCCTCTGCCCACTGAAACCTGAATTAGTTATTGATGTTATTTCTACTACCAGTCCCAAGGTAATTTCAAATATTAAATCCCTCCAGTATACTTTCTTGTATTATCGATATATCATGAATCTTGAAGAGGAGAAACCCATCTAATTTGAATTTAGCTTACAATCTACATCCATTTCACCATCTCATTTATTTATCACCATTTATCTTCTTTTATTTCAACACTGCCAACATTTGGGGATGACTGTCTTTTCAACTATGATTTTTCTAGGATATAAAGAATATCTCCTTGGGGTTTTTAATACATGTTTCTTCATAACAAATGATGCTGAGGACCTTGTCATGTGCTTATTAGAAATTCATGTCTCCTCCAAAGAAATACATATTTCAGTCTTTTGGCTATGTTTTTCTGCACTGTTTTCCTTTTTATTATTTGCAAGCGTTCTTTATGTTTCATAGAAATAAATCTTTTATCCGATAAATGATTTGCAAATATTTCTTGCAGGTGCATTGTGTCTTTTCATTTGCTTAATAGTATCTTTCAAAGTGTAAAAGTTTTCAATTTTATTTTAGTCTAATTTACCAATTTTTCTCCTATGATTCACAGTTTTGGCGTCATCTTTACAAGCTCATTGCCTAGCCCAAAGTAAAAAAGAATTTTTTTCTACATTTTTCTAAAAGTTTTATAGTTGAGCACAGATATTTAAATCTGTAACTCATTTTGAGCTGTTTTTGGCATAAGTAAACTAAGGATCTAAAATCACCTTCTCACATGTGGATATCCAGTAGCACCATTTCTTTATTGTCTTAGTACATTTGTAAAGGATCTTTAGTCATGTATGTAAGGTTTTACTTCTGGAAATTCATTTTGTTTCATGAATCCCTGTGTTTATCCTCATGTATAACACACTTATTACTGCAGCTTTATAGTAGGTTATGAAATTATGTGGTAAAGTCGTATTTGTTCTTCTTTTTCAAAATTGTTTTGCCCTAAATTTGGTATTAATGTAAGCTACTCCAGATCTCTTAATCTCATAGGCACTGTTTGCATGGTGTACTTTTTTCCATTTCTTCACTTTTAACCCCTTTGGTTCTTTGACTCTCACTTCCATTTCTTGTAAATAGCATAATGATAGATCTCACTCTTTTATATTTTGACAGTCTTCTGAGTGGTGTCCTTAGTCCACTCACATTTAGTGTAAGCATTGTTCTGGCTAGATTTACAACTACCATTTTGCCATATTTTTCTGTTGTCCCATGTCTTTTTTGTTTCCCTGTTTATCTTTTAGAACCTACTTTGGGTTAAGTAAATATTTTTAGTATACCATTCTTCTGCTAAATTTTTACTACGTGTTTGAGATTTTATTTTAGTGGTTGACCTAGGGATTATAATATACATCTCAACTATCATAATTTTCTTCAAAACTGTACTAACAATTCTGTTAAATACAGAAATGGTACTACATCGTGTCTCTTCCTTCCTCCCTTATGCTATTATTATCACATATATTATATCCATGTGTGTTACATATCCAACAATACAGTGCTGCTTTCAAAGAGGTTAAAGAGCTACTTAAGCAACACTCAAATAGAGTGAACCTTCTCTGGCACCAGAACTGAAGCTTTGGTTCTCCAAGGCTGATGTGCCTGGGTTCTTCTAGTGTGCACAAAACAGGATGGAAAAAGGAGAAGGTAAAACTGCTCAGACAAGAGCACCACTGGCTCAGGCTTCTTCTATCTAAAGTTCAGTAGCATTCATGAATAAGTGCTTCTAGTTGGAGGGAGAAGGTTTTAAAATAAGCCTCTGGCCAATTTCTGCTGTTGGCAAATGGCTGTTTTAACAGTTTTCCAGATTTATACTGCTTTTCAGAGAAAAGATTTATTGACCTCCTTACTACATGATGGCAGACAGGAATCTCCCTTATGTTCTCATTTTCAAAAAGTGAAACTCAAGTAGATGGCATAGAGGGTACAGTTGGATGGAATAAATAGGAAAAGCAGACAGACTCATTTTGCATATTGTGGTATGACTGATCTTCCAAGATCTGTCAGGCTTCCGAATAGATATCTTCTACTTCTCTCAAATTTTGGAAAAACTTATATTAATGTATAAATCCATTTTAGATTACATTTTTTGAATTAGGAAAAAAACTGTAACATCTATGAAAACTATTCTTAGGGATGTAGCAAGGAATAGGGGGAAGAATTATGATGTGAGGAATTTGGGGCAATTCATCCTTCTACTTTCACTTATCAATTAGAAAATTAATATGTAGCTCAATATCTTTCAAGCTAAAAAAGATATTTAGCTTGAAAGTGTTGGATGGAGTAATATGATAAAAATTAGGAGAACAAGCTCACACATGTGTAAATACTGAATAGTTTCTCTGGTGTGAAAAACTAAAAGTGTAAATAAGGTTCAAATGATATAATTGATAATGTGAAATAGGAAGAAAAGGTCTAAAGGAGTAGGGGAAGTAGGAAGGGGAGGGAAAAGGAAAGAAGGGAAAAGAAAAAGTATGAGAAAAGGAAAAAAATGGAAACAAAGTCTTTGTAAATAGGGAAGGGTAGAGGGGGTGAACGGAGGGCAGGGGAATGGGGAAAAAATAAAAACCAAGATAAATCATGTAAAGGTACAAGATCCCAACAATCAATGTAACTGTATTTTATACCTAAAATGTACCAATAAACTTAATAAAAAATTAGGCATGTAAAAGTATACATTCGTTTGGCGTTATTTCATTTTATTCTATTTTACTTTATTTTTTTGGTACTGGGATCGAACTTGGGACTTTGTGCTTGTGAGGCAGGTGGCAGAATCACTGAGCTAAATCCCTGGCCCCGTGTTTGGATTTATTTTTGAAGTGAGGATTTTTTTAGATTCTTGGAAGTTACACCAATGTGGGCAAGATTATTGGATGGAGTCAAATGAAATTAATGATATTCTACCATTTTGAAATCTAACAAGGGCAATTTCATAAATTTCAACCTACTTTTGGAAAGAGAACTGAATTTGAAATCAGGAAAAAGAACACTGTTCAACCACTAACCAGCTACCTGAAAAGAACAGGGACATCGAGCTGGGGATTTGGCTCAGCGGCACTGTGCCTGCCTTGCAAGTGCAAGGTCCTGAGTTCAATCCCTGGTACAAAAAAAAGGACAGGGGCATCTGCTCTGATCCTAAGGCTCTTCCTAAGGAGTAGGGTGATTCTGATTAGATCTCTACATAAGCACTTCTCCATAATCCTGAACCCAATTCAATTTCTAACAGTATTTGATGTGCCAGGAAAGATCAATAGCCAGGGTGGTGCAGGGAATTTCCATGGTCCCATGGAGTGACTCCTGTTCAGGACAGTTCTTAGAAAAAAGAATTAACACTCACCTCCTGTTCTCTAGAAATTCTACCATCTGATTGATCTTCATAGCAACAAAAGACTTCTTGAGGTATTTTCATAATTTTCTCCTAAACAAGCATATGATTGATTATTGAATAAATGTATAGTTTGTTCAAAAACAATTTTCCCTATATAGAAGTAACACATATTTGAACACATATTCAAATATGAACACATATTTCAAATAAGTTAAAAATTCCATTCATAGTATTATTATGCAAAGAAACTCCATTATTTTCATTTTAGGGTGTTTTTCTGTATTTTCTATCTATATTCTACAAAATTATAATAATAATGTGTACACAATTTGTCTCCAGTTTTTTAAAATAATATTTTACTGTAAGAATCTTTCCCTGTTTTTGTAAAAAAAAAAAAAAAAAAAAAAAAAAAGAGGCATGGCTGCATTTTATTTCATCACCATAAAGGTCCTATACTTAGTATATATTTCTTATACTAGCATATTTAAATATTCAAATAATTTCCAATATTTTACACCATACATAATGCTATGATGTGATATGGTGAAGATGGTGAAGTACATATGTGATCTTCCTTGCTGCAATTTCTCACACACAGCTCTGAAAACCTCGGGAATCTCCAGAGTGTATGTTAATGTATGTTAATGAGTGGCTGAGGCTGGGTGCACCAGGAAGCTTTAGGATGTTGAGAGGGTTGAGGCTGATTTTGAGCCCTGATCCCCTGACCTCCAAGGAGATGACTAGTGAAAAAGTTAAGCAGATCACCAAAAGCCTACACAATCAATCACGCCCACACAACAAAGTTCCCCCAAAACCTAAAAGGAGAGGGTTTGTTGACCTGCCAGATACCCACACATGTGGGTGTGCCCAGTATGTGATGTCAACTGGGAGGGCATGGAAGCTCTCTACATTCTTTCGCCATACCTTGCCCTTTCCATCTCTTTATCTAATCTCCACCTGTGTCCTCAGTAGCATACTTAATAAAAACATACATGTAAATAAGGCGTTTCACTGAGTTATCTGCACCACTTTAGAAATCAATAGAACCCAGAATGAATAATGGGAGTCCCAGTGTATGTTCCATGAGTCAGGAGTGTAAATGACCAATACCACTTACAGCTGACATCTGTAGTAGGGCAGACTTGTGGTAATGAGCTCATAACAGGTGAGATCTGATATCAGCTACTGGGGATGATGTCAGAATGAAACTGTTCAGACCCACAGTCAGTATCTGCTGGAGAACCACTTCATTTGTGAAAAAAAGCCCTCACACACCCGACCACAGAAGCATCCTGCATTGTGTAAGTGACTAGTCAAGAGAGGAGGAAAAACTCTTTTATTTTTCCTATATCTTAGGTAGGGAGAATGTCTTCTGATATAATTTTATTTTTTAGTATATTAAAAATTATTTTGTGAGGTTAGATTCTCAAATATAGGTCTAAATATATGAACAAATGGTACATTTAAATAAATATGTATTGAGTTTAAGTGCACAAGACAGTATGTTGGAAGCCTGGATAAATGACATTGTGTCTAGGATAAATTATTCATAATGTTAGAGACATAATCTTTCAATCATTAGGGAAGATGAGTAGTAGTTTTGGGGATGTGGTGGGTATGAAGTAAATCACACTAATGGCCATTGTTTAGCCTTAATGTTCTGTCACCAGAGATAGTCGCATTAACTTGGTATTAGAAAAAAGAATAAGGCTTTCATTCCTAAAACTTAGGGAACAACAGATTTATTAGTTAATTCATAATCTAAACAAGTGGTGCATGACATAAAACAATCAGACCCAGAAACATCTCCAAAGCATGTAATCATTTTGATATCATTCAGTCCACACCACAGGGTGCATTAATGTAAAAAGACCAAGACTGGGAAATTGAATCATTAGTATGTAGCAGCAATGGCCTTGTTAATGATTCAAAGCTCATTTTTCTCATGCGAGCAAGATTCATGCTGAAGCTTCTCTGTTTAATTCCTTCCCCAGATGGAGGTTATCTAGAGAGAGATCATGATGCTCTTCTGCTGTTTCAGGGCTGGGATGCTAACTAGGACCTTCCAGCTTCTGGTCTGTTCTTTCCTCATTCTCAGGACCCCCGTGATGCCTCCAAAGTGACCTGGCTTCCATAGTGGCTTTTCTTCCCTTCCTAGATTCTGTCTGCTTTATGACTTCACCTTTTGAACTATTTTGTCTGCCTTCACTCATCTATAATAAAAATGACCATTTTTGTTTCCCAAGCTGTCATTTGAGGAAGTCAGAGATAGGGTCGGTCTTGTTTATGATGTGTATCAAATGTAGAGACAGTGGCATGTAGTATGTGCTCCAAAAAGGATTATTCAATTTTAAAAGAAATGTCCAAGTGGAGGGTGGTGGCACATGGCTGTATTCCCAGCTACTTGGGGTACTGAAGTAGGAGGATCACATGTTTGGGACCAGCCTGAACAACATGGCAAGACCCTGCCTCAGAATAAAAATGAAAAGCTACACTGAGGATGTAGCTTTTTACTCTAAAGTTATCCATAATTGATTAATTATAATACCCTTGCAGGTGACAGTGGCATGTCACCAAAGCCATTCTGTCCTTTAACCCCAAGGGATGTGGGAGCGGGGGTTATGGAAACAACATTAAGGGATTCTGGAGGAGAGAGAAAAGAGTGACTGTCATTTTGTGCAGCCTCATGTCCTGCAGAAAATGTCAATTACTTTTCATTATTCATTGGCCATTTATGATGGTCACGTGTCCATCCACCTGCATAGAGGGCCACTGCCTCTGCATTGCAGGGAACAAGGTTCCTTGTGAGAGAGCCAGGCAGGGACACTGCAGTCCACATGAGCCCACCATCCACCTTAGGGAGATGCGGCTTTCACTTTACTTAGGTCATGAGCGGTCCCCGGAGGACACGTCAACAGGTCACAGAGGACACATGAGCAAGCCACAAGCCCACCATTTCTCCGACCCACCCCCTCAAAAGCCCACCACAAATGCTATGAAAAAGGTTCTTAGCCTGTAAGAGACAACTTCTCTCTTCTGCTCACAGAAAAGTTCCTCTCAGGCTTAGCAATAAACTTGCTTGGATTGTTGAGTTCATGTCCCTTCTTTCCTGCTCACCTTGGAGGCAAGATAGCCAGCTCTGGGTTTGAATCTCAACTATATTTTATTTACAGTGTTGCAACATTTTTAAAAACCTCTTCAATTCTCTTTTCAAAACTTATTTTATGAAAAAATAAAATTTCATGACAAAATAGTAAGAGAATAACAGTTAAAACACAGTATATCTCTATCTTCCAAGAGGTACCTCAAGTATAAGACACAGACAAAAATGATTATCCCTTAGAAACAAACAGATAATAGCACAAAGCTCTTTTCAGTGAAATAAGAGAAACTAGTGGAATAAATGAAACAAATTAACATATATATAAAACTATTTTTGAAACAACAGAATAGGTAATTTGCAGAATTATTTGAACTTCTCCCTACTTACTATTTATCTTCTATTTTGCTCTTATTTGTGTCATTTTGGCTTAGTCTCAAATTAGACCAGTTTCTTTCAAATTACATGACACATAACCTCTGCTTTCAAATATTGAAAAAAAGCTAGGTTAGCTATGGGTCAGTTAGCCATGCTTTTGGTCAAAGTTCTAGAAACCCTCAAAGTTCACCTTTCTGGATGGCCTTGGACTTAATCACATGTACACTGGCCATAAGATACCAACAAAATAGGAACAACAAACATGTAATATTTCCCTCTGCCTCTTTTCAATATGTCCAAGTCATTTACGATTCTGTCATAGTGTGTTGTTCCAGAAAAAGACATGGAGCCAAAGATTTAGGAGCAGTAATTTATTAAGGAAAAGCTCCCAGAAGAAATTAGTAAAGAAACCAGAGAAACAAAATAAAGAAAAGCAAACAAGGTGTGATCATCATGAAACCCCAGCCCTTCCCTGCTCTCAGAGAAATCTAGTGTAAATGCAATCTTGAAAGTCACTGGTCCATTTCCTGATAAGAAGTTGGGTTCCACCTTTCCCATGACATTGGCTATGGACCAACACAAGGTGGGGAGGGAATCTGAGAGTGAACTCCCAGGCAGGGACCAATGTTCTACAGGCTGGGAAGCCATTAGCTATTACCAGCAGATACCTGGGCATAGGAGTGCCGAGCTGGAGAAACTGACCTGAGGGGCTTTGGGCAAAACTCACCATCATCTGATAATACATTCTTAGCCAAGGACTGCTTCTTCCTGCTGTCCATTTTCCTACTTCAAACACACTGTATTACAAGGTATTTTGAAAAACTGTCCCACTAATCACACTAAATAATTCTGCAGAAGACTGTGCCAAACTTGAAGAGGTTAGTAAGAGCCTGAGGAGAGTCTAGAGTCTCCATAATAAGAAACAAGTAGGGTTGGGGGGGGGTGTCACTGCCACATACTCCCACAGTAAGAGGTTATCTCTTCTTTCATGCAACGTCAGTATCTTTTCAGACTCTTACAGACATAAGTGAGCCCTACCTTCCCAGGGAATCACACTGTCATGGCTTCCAAGTAAACTGTGTAACCTAAACCACTGCTCAGTGTTATTGTAGCTGCACACAGAGAAACAACACCCTGCAACTAAAAAGGAATAGAAACACAAAGCAGATCTCTAGTTATGTCAAAAAAGGAAACACAGTGCATGTCTATTTTAAAAAGAATCTTAGAATTCTTTTTTCCCATTTTTTCTTTTTCTTTCCTCATAGTTAGGACACAAACCCCCAAATTCTATCTTTCTTCATCTCACTTCCCAAATCAATCTCCTCTCACAAACTCAAGCCTGAAAAGCTTTCTTTCTCTTACCCATCCCCCCCATAAGACACTTAACATATCTACTCACTCAACACCCTTTAAGCGTACAATAGTGTTAAATATGGGCACAATGCTGTACTGCAAGTCTCTGGAACTTGGTCATCTTGCATAACTGAAGTTTTACACTGGTTGGATAGCAGTTTTCCATTTCCCTTCCTCCACTTGTGGCAGTCACCATCCAACTCTCTGCTTTGATGTGACTGTTTTATTCCTCTTGTATATGTCTTAGCTGTTCCCTTACTAAATTCAACAGCTGTCTGCCTTCAGCTAGCTTCTCTAGATGCTCAAATACTCCCTCTCACCGACAGTATTGTCCCAATAGGTATCATACAGCTTCAGGGATAACAAAGCAAGACAGAATGCTCACTGTGTGCCAGGAGCAAAGGAAGGCTGGCAAAATGGTTCTCCTAAACTGTCAGACAAGAGGGATACTTCAAAAGATCCTTCCACCTTGTCATGCCAACCATCCAGATTGCCCTTTAATACAATCCCATAAGCCACTGGATATTGTGCAATTAAACACTCAGTCCTGGGAGCTCCCCTGGGCTACATAGTTATTCAACCATCACTTCCTAAAAGGGATCCTATAAGCAGTGTATATTTTAGAAAATAGATAATCTAGAATCTGGTACAAGGTATGTGCAAATAAACCTCAATGTATCTCTCCTGAAACTATATGTGGGGTAAGAAAATGCCCATGTGGTATGTAAGGGGGAAAGAAGCATGTGTGTATCTGCCTGTGTGCCTACTTGTGAGGTGTGTGTGTGTTGAAAGAACTATATCAACAATGACCTTAAGCACAGACACTTTGACTTTTGGGGTATACCACAGAGAAAGGAGCACTCCTCCCTCATTTTCCAGAGCATCTCTACCTGCAGGATCAGTTGGGGGCTGAATCTAGACCTCCAGCATTGGCCTTTACCATTGGAGCTACATCCTATCCTGGTGGAAGAGTTGGCCGTAGACTACCAATTCCCAGCACATCAGCAGCAATATCTCAGTGTCACTGACAGTCTAGGCTCTTCGGCAGACGTGATGGGAGATTGCTGATTGTATTGCACTCTCTGTGTGAACAGTGGGACGAGCCAAATCCCAGCCCAGCAGGGACTGCTTCAGCACTTCAGAAACCTAAGCTGTCCAGGGCTGGTGACTCAATGAAAGCAGCATCCATTATTATCTTAAAGCAAACAAAATTGGGCATTGGTCTACTCTTGAGGAAGTTATCCTCAAAGATCTTGAATTTTAAGCAAGAAAGTAGAAGTTGGTGAAAATGATCTAAAATATCAGTGAGGTCAAACCCCTAGAAGACTGGACTTCAACTAGTCAACCAGCTGAGAACATAACACAAGCCAGTAAGATCAGGTTTATCTCTGAGATAAGTCATTAACAAGGTTCCTGGCTCATAATAAGCACTTAAAAATTTCAGTTATTGTTTAGTTGTTATTGAGCCTTGGATACACATGCTTGGCATTCATTGTTTATTACTCAATAAATACACGTATTTTTGAAGAATTGCCTTTTGAATATTTTCAGTTTGTATTGAATGCCTATTATGTGGTGGGTCTGAATCTCATTTGATCTTCACAATAGCCATATGACCTGGGTATTAGTTTCCACATTATCGTAATAAAGAAACAAGTTCAGAGAGGATGAATTGCTTGCCAAGATTCACTCAACTAGAAATCAGTGAAGATGTAAATCCAATATTTGGCACTAAAAACCCTAACACAGGGTTCTCCAAGTTAAATTAAACACGATCGTAAGTTTATATCATATTAAGAATATGATGAAGTGATTTAGATTGTCTCACAAAATTTAGTATGTAAATATCTTACAAATATTAAGTTCTTAGAAAATTTTAAGTGAGAATTTCTGTTTCTATTTTTCCTTTGTATTCTCTCACTTTGAGTGTCATATGTAAATTCTCTCAAGAACAAACAAGTCCACATGACACTGTCATTCTGCCTTCACAGAAGTTCTCAGAGGGCACTGAGCACCCTATACAAACCCTATGTGAGCTAAAGGAGTTAATGAGTCTCAAAGTTCATTGTGCTCAGGTGGAAGAGGTTCTCTCAGCCAGTTTCCTATATCATCATCATGTGACAGAGAGGCACGGGGAAGAAAAGAAAGCGTGGCCTTTGGGAATTCTCAGTGAACTCCAAGAAGAGTTAATTATTAAAGAGCTGTGCTAAATTCTCTCAGGGTGACCTCTTTCCTTTTTAGAAAAACAACTTTTAAAAATGTTAACCTGAGAGTAGGACTCAACTTCACAGGCAAGATATTGAAGCCAGAATCTGGGCACACATGAAATATTCCCAGCATTTGCCACAATAAGGACAAATATTGCAGGACAGAAATTGCTTTTTGTACCTCCAGGTGGTGGGTGCAGAGCCACCTAGAATAGTGTTTTCAAGTCTCACTAATTGCAACTCATCCAGAATAAATTCAAGGTCAGAGAGTGGCATAGTGTAAAACCATTTTATCTATGATATGCAACAATACCTTTAGGCAAGTAAGACATCATGCTATAAGGAGCATGGCCTTAGAAATCAAATAGGTATGCATTCAAACTTATAATGGAACACCTGACTGGGTAGCTTTGGCCTCATACTTTTTTTTTTGTGGTACTGGAGATTGAACCCAGGGCTTTGTCTCTGAGCTTGCCCCCCACCCCTGGATTGAACTTGCCATCCTCCTGTCTCAGCCTCCCACAGGGCTAGGTGGCATGTGCCACCACAACCAGCCTCAGAAACCTTTTTGATAGTTCAATGCTATCTTGAAATTCTTGAAAGATACATTCAGAGATCTTTGAGTATATTCAAATCTGAACATGCTATTGAATCTTATCATTTGCATATAAAATGTTATATGACCATGAATAGAATGGAACAGAGATGTAATGATGAACTGTGATAAATCTCACACATCAGCCAAGGGGCTTCTGCAAACCACATTGACAGTGCTCTAGGTTGACATTTATGCCTCAAAATTTATAACATAAGATATGTCATTAACTTCCAAGTTTCAACATAAGATATGTCATCAACTGGCTCATCAAAAAATAAAACAGTAAAGCATGCGACTGTGCAAAATAAGATAATGTATACCATCACTTGTCATACGGAAGGAACTTGCTTAATAGCAGTTCCCTTCTGAGTCTCTTCCCATTTTGTTTCTAGATACAGTGTTCCACAATCGACATGAAAAGTATGACTGACGATAAAGTATGCAGCATCAATAAGAACACATTCTACAGTGCATTGACCTGGCTTCTTCTGTTTCACATGCGCTCAAGGTTTCCCCTTAGGTGGGAAGTAATTCAGCTCAGATAGGAATTACAAGCTTTCAGGAAAAAAATGGCAGCTCTTTTGAACCAAGGATTGGTTTTCAAAACAGATTGAAATTTAAGTTTTTAAATTTTTCTTCTTATGAATTTCTCCTTACCTGATAAAACTCTAAAATCAATGAGGCCACTCACTGATACTCGCTGTGAGCAGCTCATCACCTCTCTGCCAGAGATCTATCAGTTCCCTACGGTGTACTGCACACTTACTGGTCACACTGAATAGCAGAGATGCATCTCACTTTACTAATGATTAGGTAAAAGAAAGAAAAGAGAATTTTTTTAAAAGCACCAGTTGGAAAAAGAGAGCAATCACTTACTACAGAGAAGCCACTTCCCCTCTCTGAGCATTAGTACAGCAGACCCTCAGGTTAAGACTGACCTGACACATGAACAACACTGGGTTAATTAGGTTAATGGAAGATTCATCTGCCTCTTGTTATCTATAGTGTGTACTCAGGTAAACATCCAGATCTCAGCTGAATTGACTTACAACCACCTTGAGTTACAACCTGCCCTTGGGAACTGATTGAGTTTTTAAGTTGAGGATCCATTGTATTAGAATGCAGAGCTCAGGTTGTCATATCAGTTATGCTCACACTAGGGCTCTAGACAGTTCCCTCTTTGTCACTACCACCTACCCTCGGTATCACTATTTTATGCTTAGTCACCAGTTCTTTGGGTGCAACAGCCTCCCATCAGAATTCATTTTATAATACTTTGCTGAGTATTACTGTCACTCTGCTACTCCATCCCACCTTGTATCTGTCAGTTCTTACAACAGAAACATTTAATATAAGAAACACAGATACAGTATATAAGAATATTCAAGATTGGCTTACCATGGCTACCCAGTGTCAAGTGTGGAAAAGTACAGAAGGTCTATCTGTGCACTGGAGATCTGAAGGACCCAGTGGAAGGCCCGGAGACCACTGCAGTGTCCCCTGTGAGTCCGTATCAGGTCTGTGAGGCCGAAGGGTCTATGCTGGAAGCCAGGAGAAGATGTCCAAGGGGAACACGAGCTGCTCTGGAGAACCAGAAGCGAGACTTGCTTCTCCATTTCCCTTTTATACCATTCAGGTGACACGCCTACACAGGGTGGGTCTTCTGTCTTCAGTAAATCCCCTCAGCCACATCTGATTGAGATGAGTGTTTCTTACTTAAATTGACACAATCAGTTAACTATCACACACCTGCAGTTACATTCCAATAAGCATCACCTGGATACTACCATATCCTACAGGTTTTGATTTTCAGTACTTCCCTGGGTGTCAAAATCTTCCCCCTGCCATGAAACTGTCACTCCTTTGCCATGAAATATCATCAATGCTTTGGTGATATTACTATAGCCAGACATTTTAGTAAAGAAAATGTGGCAGGGTAGGGATGCCTCCTTTATCCTCAGGTTTCAGTCTGTTAAATAGATCCTGAAGTTCTGCACTGTAATCCAGTGTTTTTAAAAGATATTTTCCCCAACTTTATACTTGTACATTTGAACTCCCCACACTCCAGAGAACCTAGGGATATACAAAGGTTGATGGAAAACTACAATGAATATTTAAATTTTTAAAAAATGTATTAAAGTAAAAAACACATTGGCATGAATTCCCCCAAATGCTCCCTCTCTCAGAAAGCAATTATCCCATTAATCTTGCTACTTTCTTACAGTTCTGGAAGTCCTCTTTTCTGTGTGTCTTTATAGGCTGTGATAAAAAATTTGGTGAATGCTGCTGTGAGTACCATCCACTGGAAAGGAGGTCCTGTAAAAATATTATGGTGCGTCCTTGTTTACTTTATTCTCTGTATCTGGCAGTGTGTGATTTCTGGCTCTTCCTCAAAGTCAAAATGACCATTTAAAATTGGAACTTGAAGCAGCCACAACAGTGCAATAAAGACATGCAAAAAGACTTCCAGAATTCCTGAATTGCTTCAGAAAATAGCAAGAATGATGGGATCAGTGTTTTCAAAGCAAAGGGGAATATTCTGAGGGGGATTAATGGCAGTGTGTCTTTTATTGTAATACTTTGTTAAAATTTAAACACACACTGTATTTTTCAATCGCACCTCATATTCATGTCATGTAGCTGGGAGACAGTTCTATGTGACAAACCTCACACGCTGTACTTGGGCTTCCTCACTTCTCTGTTGGGTAAGGAAGGCCTGCTCCACAGGTCAAAGTCTTGTTGCCAGGCAACTTCTTCCTTCAGAATGAGAACTCTCCCAAGAGGACCCTCAATCCACACACAAACAGCGTCCTGGCAGCTGCTCCACCAGTTCCACAGACATGCCCAGGCATGACTGTCTCCTCTGCAGCTAAATTGAGATGCCTCATTACATTAATTGAAAGGGCCAGAGATTATTCTTTCTATATTTCTTTAGTGAGATTTTTTAGTGAGATATATTAGATACATAATAAAAGAGAAATATTATAATACTATAATCCTATCTTCATTTGAAAGCCATCCCCCACCTCCCTTCAAACATAGTCCTAGACATTTATCTTGGATAAGACTAGTGCATAGAAGAACCCTGAACAAATTAAATTGCTTTCTTCTGTGGAGCCTTATGATGTCCTTTTCAACATTTATACCTAAAGCAGTAACTCTGAACAATATTTATAGAGGACTTTGAAGTTTCAGACACTGTGGTAAGTGATAGTGCTAACGGTGAATCCAGCACAATCACCAACATCTTCTAGCTATGAACTAGATGTCTGTGGAACTCAGCAACAAACTTAATATAACATGGGACATGTTGCAGTCCACGTTCAATTTAACTATGAAGTCTACATCTCTCCATTTCACAGATGCCACTCCACCCTACCTGCTAGTCTCCATCTTTCTTGCCACTAATTCATATCAGGTCCTGATTATCAGCACTAATTTAAAACATCACCTTCATCTCCTAAACTCATTCTGTCTCTTTTCCTCTCTTCCTCTTTCCCACCCTCCATCCCTTCTTTCTTCCTTCCTGCTGTCTCTACTCTATTGCCTTCATTGCCTTTGTTCCCAGAAATAATTTTATAAATCCCATTTCTGAGCATATCACTCTCTTTACTAATTGCCTCCAGTGCTGACCCAATGACTACAATGACCTTACTCCAAAATCTAGTCCCAGCTAGCCACAGCAGTCTTGTATTTGGATCTACCTCCACAACTCCACCTCTATTTGCACTTTCCACACCAACTAGAAAAGACTCTTTTACTTCTCAGGAAAAATAATTGCAGTAATAGCTTTTGCCCCATACTCTGTTGGATAAGCAATAACCCTTTTCAAACCTAGCTAAACTGTAACCCTAAGAGAGCAGCTGAGTGTTCTGTGCTCTTCTGGAGCTTTGCGATATCATTGTCACAGAAGCTTTAAATTCCTATTAAAAAGATTTCTGAGTATCAGCCCTATGCCAAATGATCTCTGTCACACATACACAACACTACCCTATAATACCCTTTTAAGGCTATTCAGCTCCTATTGGTAAATAAACTGTGCTCCAACATGTTTAGTAATATGCCAAAGCTCACTGAACATCTACATAGCAGAGCTGACAATAAACATATGACAAAAGATCCTAAATTCCAAACCAGTTACATTATAGTTGTTTATGTATTAATATCCAGAACTAGAAGGTGTTTTCTGAAAAGCTCTGTGTAGAGCAGGCTGCTCTCTCCTGTCAGTTACTCCACATTGTATAGAATAGTAGTGTCCAGGCTGATCCTTGCGCTGAATGACTCCATTTTGGAAATCAGCACTTTGCTCCATTTTGAATTCAGATGCTGAGACAGAATGACTCGGTAACTTACCTGTGCAAGCAGACAACCACCCCGTGTTGGACACAGCAAACTTATCAAGAAGAACAAACATAGATGCAGAGTATGATCATAAAGTACAAACTGATAAATGAATCATGCTAATAAAAAGTTGCCACCTGTAACTTACCATTAAATTAAGGGCACCACCATCACACGATGTATCAAAGTCAAATCAGAGAAAATCGGGCTCATGAGTTTATCAGGCCCATGAGACCAATCAATGAAGCAAACTCCTCACCTGAATCATAAAAAAGGAGGGGCTACCCAACACTGGTGTTTCAACACACACCAGACCATAATCTCAGTCTACATCGTGAATGAGTCACAAAGTTGATAGATGACAAATTATGGCTCTCTCTCATCCATCTCCCTGGTTGACCGGGTCCAGTCTACCTGCCTGCCTTCTGAACCTGGGCTCTGAACAAGTTCTGTACTCATAACAAGCCCCACAGCTCTCACAAGCTCTGCCTGGTCTATTATCTCGTCCGACCACTTGCAGTGACTTTCCATTTCTCTGTGAGTTCCTCTTTTTGCTTTCAGTTCTGCCTCTTTGATCCTGCCATCCATCATATATTACTGTGTGAAGTGTGTCCTGTGACTTGAGTGTTATTGGTAATTAAGATTGGAATAAGAGAATCTGTGCCTGGCTCATGGCTATAAAGTGAAAAGAGCATTCGTCCAGGTAAGGCTGATGAAACGGACATAGCTTGTGAAAAGACAAATTGTGGGAAAACACAAACATGTCCAGTTTATGTTAATGTCACAGTTCATTCTATATGTTCAGATGAGATTTGTTTTATTCTTTACATCACCCAATGTTGGGCATATTACACATACTCCATGTATGCTGAATGAGAGGATGAGCTTCACTTAAATGAGTATTGATTGAATCTTCTTTTAGGGTCAATTTTGGAAGGACGGGGAACATGCTGTAATCAATTCTCAAACATCAAATGGGCCATCAGAGAGTGCTTCCTTCACAACTTGCAATGGGGAGATGCAGGTGTCAGCAAGTCAAATGTGACTGTGTCTTGTCTCTTAGCCCATCTATTGCACTGTTTTTAGATGCAACCTTATTCATAAATGGGTAGATGATTATAGGTAGTCTCTTGGGAAGTCATTTATCACTAGTATAAAGTTTCCCTCATTTCCATCTCTGCAGAAAATCTTCACCACACAGCCCCAACCAATGAGCTGTCGCCCCTTCTCCTCCTGAAGAGAGCTACTGAAACAGAACCAGAGAACAGTGCCACAGGGGTGCTTTTCTATCCAATTGGAACAGGGCTTCTAAACCACTCTGAGTTCAGGGCTTCAGTTTTTCAGGTTTGAAAACAAAATCGGTGACATTTAGTGTCCCCAGTAAGAATAATAAATCTCAGGTTTTGCACAGTCTTGCAAAAGTATGAGTACCTCAGCATCTGAAGGAATCTTCCAGTTCCTCTGTATGGGCCCTGGCTCCTAGAGAACCTGCTGCTGCTGAAGCCCCTGGAATCACTCAGGATGGGGAGGGGGTGAATATAGTTGATCAAAGACCCAGAGAGCTGGGTTTCTCTGCCTCCATCAATGTCTTCAAGGTTCAGTGGCCACAGAATAATTTCAAGGTCATCAGACTGGTTTTGCTGATTACTTCAATGTAGGCATCTTTTAAAACAATCTTCTGGATGCAGAGTTACTAGGTGTCTATTCCCAGGAATGGTGTCTTAGTCACTCACTTTGCCTGATCTAGTTCAAAAGGAAAGGCTCTCCTGCATTTTCCACCAGCATATGAGTTATATAGAATATCCTATATTTGCTCAGCTCTTGCAGTTGCCTGTGATCAAAATGAAGCCCATTCTGTAGCATGATTCTGCTGCTGAACTATTATAGGACATATAATTAAATTAAGCCATAAGGCAGAAGAAAACTGTGCCATAACCTTCATAATCTGTGAAACCTTTCATCATTTGCCAAGCATCGATTTCCTAAAAATGGTGACTGCAGCACATCACCAGGAGATCAAATCCTAAAATAGAAACTGAGATTGCTTACAGTGCATGGGGAGATGCTGAGCCCCCAAGCCAGGGAGGGGAGTAAAGCCAAAGTGCTGGGCATGTGATGGAGGAGACCATGCACAATGACCTTGAAATCCAAATTAGCTCCTGCTAATTGGATGGCACTCACTATCATTTCCATTTCTGAATTCGTAAAATTGTTTTCTTCTCCAGGAAAAAGAAACATCTGCTCTTCTGGGTGAGCTCAGTTCTGAGTAAGTTTGTTCTCCCTGTTTTGGTGTAGTTTAGGCAGAGAAAGGGGAAAGCCATCCTGGCAGCAGAG